ATTCCAAGAGTAACTAAGCTGCATGTAAGCGTGGAAGTCATGCCTGACACCACAGACTTCACCTAGACCTGTGGCCTTCTCAGCTAAAAACAACTGACAGGGAGAGCAAAAGGAAGAAGAAGCAGGTCGAATATATTATTGGGTTTTCTATCAGAGACTAGGCGCAGAGCACATTTTTGAAGAGAACAGAGTCGTTTAACGTTAGATTTAGAGCAACTATTCTAAATTATGGAACAATTAGACCAGGAGAAAGCATTCGACATGGTCGATAGATAAAAATTATGGAAAGTAATAGCTCGATAAGGAGTAAGTAAACACCTCATTGAAGTTTGCTAAAGATTATACAGCGACTGTAGAAGCTTAGTTAGAATAAATCAGAGAACATCTAAACCATTCAAAAAAACATCTTGAGTAAGACAGGAGCGAGGATAATAGTAACATTAATAAATAACTCTTTGCTGATTACGAGGCCTTGATGCAGCTACAGCCATAAATTTGCAACAGCAGCTCACATTCTTGAATGAAGAAGGCAAATCAAAAAATATTAGAATCATCATCGCAAAGATAGAAGTAATGTCAATAGGAAGAAAGAAGCAGGTTTTAAAAATATCATTAGGGCATACATATATTAAACAGGCATCTGAGTTTAAATATCATGGAACAATATTCACTGAAGATGGTTACTGGAAGAAGAAATTGACATCCAATGCAGTAAAGCAGGCCAAGTATTGCTAGCTCCGTCTTACAGCCTAGGGTAATCCCAATCAGCACAAAGAAACATCTCATACAAACCATATTTATTCCCAACCTATGCTGTCAGTGCCAGACGTGGTCACTCACAGCAAAACATAGGAAAATTAGTAACCATGGAAATGATGTGTCCGAGAAAGACTGTAGGAGTGACCAGAAGAAATAAAATCGAGAATGAGGTCATACGAGATAAAGTCGGCACAGAACCAATTCTAAAGTACATAAAGACAGCAAATCGAATGGTTTGGCCACTTGGAGAGAATGCCTCCTGATATCATTCAAGGCATGTACCAAAAGAATAGAGGGATGTAGAGCAAGAGGTAGACCAAGAAAAATAAGGGAACAACATCAGAGAAACTCTACAGCACTACGATGTGTCTATGGCCAAAGCAGCGAGAAAAGCACGAAACAGTACCTTATATCTCCCTTGACACCCGAAGCGGTAAAAGAGGACGTCAACAAGAACAAGAATCAATGTGTGTTTAGATGCATGAGAGGTAAAATATTTTTTATGTATATGACAGTAATATTGTTCGCGTATTTGCATAGCGTGAGTGCTGAATTGTAGTTAGATATGTCCGGATGTACCAGGAAACCACTCCATTCTTCGATGTTTCTCCTTCTGCATATGTTAGTAAGTAGCCTCTGTGTATTTTATTATTAATATTTCCCTTGCGTCTTATGTCAGCTAGCCCCATTAACTTAATTTTCCTTTTTTCCATCATTTCAATAATCTCTTCTGGTTTATTTCTCAGGCCAGCTGTGTTAAGTGTTGCAATCTTGTATTTCGCTGTTCTGTCTCGTAATCCCTTAACATTGCCATGGTCAGATACCGTTTGATCAGTCCGTTTATATCTCATTTTGATTTCTGTAGCGGTAATAAATCCATTGTCGGCTTGCTAGGCCTGTCGCAACTTCACCAGAGCCCTGTTGGCCGGGACTTTTCGGGGTGACCCAGGGTGGCCTTCATGGCTACCGTAGCGGTCCCGTGGCACGAGGCCACACCATGCTTCGCCCACACCTAGCAATCCCCTACATTGTCCTGTTACCACCTCTCACGACGAGGACGTGGGGTTGGCCTTTGAGAGGCCATACAAAGCATACATGGAAAGAGAAGAAGGACGTAGAGCACGGGGTAGACCAAGAACAAGATGGAAGGATAACATCAGAGAAACTCTACAACAACACGATGTGCCTATGGTCGAGGCAGCCAGAAGAGCTAGAAGCAAAACCTTATATCTCCCTCGACACCCACAGCGGTAAAAGAGGAAGTGAAGAAGAAGAGTGCTGAATTTTGTTAAGTGTATAAATGTGTGTGCTATTTTCTTGGCTATGGTATGAATATGAGAACTAAATATTAAATTACTGTCAATTATAGGGCCTAATATTTTTATGTTAAGTTACATTAGGGGAATTTGTTTCTTCTTCTTCTTCTTCTTCTTCTTCTTCTTCTTCTTCTTCTTCTTCTTCTTCTTCTTCTTCTTCTTCTTCTTCTTCTTCTTCTTCTTCTTCTTCTTCTTCTTCCTTTTCTTCGCGTTTACCGGCTTTAAACTCCAGAGGAAAGTTCTGGTTGTTCATCGACTTCTGGACTGTAGTCCTGTTTCATAAACTGAGTGTTGCGTGTACATCTGTTTCACAGGTCGACCCATTTCTAAGTAGACTGTTGATTCCTTGCCTCTCAGGCAGATGTACTCCGACGACTTAGGAGGAAGCTTCCATTTGGTCGACTCCTACGACATGCATATTTGCAGGCAGTTGGTCTATTCTGGTTTTCCCCAATCTGGGGCAGCCGAACGCACACGGGAAATTTGTTGATAAATAGATAATATGTCACTACAAAACTTAAATGATGGCTTCCCCAACACCTTGTTTGTCTAGTTATCATAAGTATGGATTCTGTTTGATTTATATTATTCTGCAGTCGATTTTTACTGGTCTATTTAATGTGTTGTCTGCTTGCTTCTGTCCCAACTAACTAAAATTTTCATGACGATTACTTATCGTACAGTTATCTGTAAATGGGTCACACGTTATACTTAAATTGATGTAAGGTCGTTGATATATTTGTCAAAAGGTTGTGCACGTGGTATTGAGCCCGGAGACACACCAGTATTTAGATATGTGATTTTGAATAATGGCTCTGGAAGCACACTACTTGCTACTTTATTATTCATTTAAAGATCATCGTCATCTCACATTGGACGTGACCATAAGAGCTTCAATCTTCTCCTGGTTATGTGTCCTAAGTCTTTTGTAGTCAAAAAACTCCATTTCTGTACTGGCTGATGTAATGATGAGAACATCCTGATTGTTTTTATTGTCTTACTGCTCCAGTTGGTACACCCAGGATATGAAGACAATTTTGTGAAGAATCTTTTTTCCCCCACAAAATTAAAATCATCCTAGCGTTTAAACTTGCTGTCTATCAGACCTTGGACAAAAAATCTTTATGAATGAATGAATAAATTAGGAATTGACCTCATTGCAATGGGGACATTTCCACACATTTGCCGTCACCTTCTTTAGTAAACAACAGAGAGCTAATAGTACCAGTTGGAACCTGATTACAATTCCGTCTCTGTTTCCTCTTGAATGTTGGATATCTTCCATAATCTCTACCCATCACCTGTTCAATTATTCTTTCAGAATATGGATTACCTATCAGTTCTTTTGCACTGTCAATTTGATCCCATAGAATCTTCCCCGGATCCGCTGTATCATATGGTAGCCCAAAGAAGCGGCAGCAGCTAATCTATCAGTCTGCTCGTTACCTTTCACACCTGAATATCCTGGAGTTGATTTGTGTCAAGAATTGAGATTACAGCACTCGGGGCATTTCCATGCGTGCTCCGTCTTTATCTTGAGCAGCCAGCGCAGAGTTCCATTACTGATGGTATCGGTAGCAATCTGGTTATATGTCAGTCTTGCTTTTCCTCAGAGTTTAGTGAGCCGGCCAGACTCTTTGGTTACACCTTAGTGCCTCAATCTCGAGGTCGCATCGACTTTCTCTTTCCGGAATGTTGCAACTTCGGTTCCCAGTTCATTGATCACATGTGAGAACTTGGTAGAGGAGCGTGCCTTATCCGATTGTCTGTCTTCTATTTGCGTGGCAGGCTGGTTCCTCGGCTTGACTCTTGTTGCCTGGGCGGCTTGTACCTCTCTCTAGCTTCCGCATGCGTTATGTTCTCAACCGTGGCCGCCGTCAGAGCCCTTTTGTGGTGTCTGAGATTTGGAAAGCCCATATATCTCGTGCTATGAGCACCAGAGCAGTTGGAGCATTTATGGTTACAGTTTTGCTTTTTGAAATCCTGGTCGATTTTCGACAGTGGTCACTCCTAGAAGTCGTGAGGTTTGGATCAGTACCTGCACGAGATGCCGCTGAGACGCGTGTGCCACGCCATCTGGCAACGTGAGCATTGAATAATCTTCGGGTGGAGACTCTCCTGCTTCTGAGACTTTTTGTTGAAGCTGGTGGTACTGGAGGGCCGCAGATGTTTTGCGCCACGATAGGGGCGGTTTCGGGTATAGGGATGGCTTCGGGTGCTGGCGCCATGGCGGGGGCGGCTTCTAGTGTCAGCATTGTTCTTTTTATTTTTATTGATCAGCTCTTGCATCACTGACACTGTTTAACGGGCTTTAATAATTTCACTAAATAATCGTTAGTTTTTTTAGGCTATGGATTTACTAATTTAAAATATCGTGATCTTTCTTGTCAAGGATTTTCCACATAAGTTGCCATTGTTGATGTCAAAATGCTTATTGCCCGTTATGTTTGTCGAAGCAGTATGGCAAGAGTTTTTGGATGGATGAAACCTGATTGACAATCAAGTGGACGTGTTAGCTGATTGTCTTATTTTTGTTTCTTGCAGAAATTCTCACCATGTTCTCTGAGACAAATTGGTCTAAAGATGCCCAATCATAACTGTCTAACTCGTAAGCATAGTTATAATGAAACTTGATTAGTTCATAAGTAGATTAGTTGATTTAGAACATCGAAGCACAAAGTTGATTAGTTGATTAAATAGACAGGAAACATCGAATAGGCTGCATCAATACTTCAAAAACTGAATAGTGCAAAGAAGGTTGGCTTTTCAGACTGGACGACAAAAGCAAAAGAAAATTGAAATACCAGTGATCCCATATGTCAAAGAAATAGTGAAAAACACAACTTATGAACCTGAACATTGCAAAAAACAAGATTATAAAAAGACAGAAACAATAATGGAGGGGTATATGCCTGGGAAGAAGAGGAAGAGGAAGGCCACAAGGAGGATGGTTGTAGGATGTGACGGATGATCTCCAGATTGGTGTATCAGACGAAAGACATCTTGTTTGTGATCGAGAGGTTTTCCAGAGCGTTGATATGTGATCAAGGTTCTACAAAAGATATACGACTGACTGTCCGACAGTCATATTTTGCCATGATCTTCTACAGACCCTCTCTGTTAACTGAGTCGTTCACTTTTGTAAGGGCATTGAAAGCCGTGAATAAGACACAATGCTGTTCTTGATATTTTTCATGTAAATGCCTTTCGGCAAACACCATGCCTATGGTTCCGCCCTCCTTCCCTAATTGGCTTTGGCTTTCAGGTAGCAGGCCTCCATCAAGTTGTGTCGTAACGCGATTTAGAACTATTCTTAAAATATTTTCCCTGCGATTGATAGCAGGAATATGCCATGGCGATTGCTTCTGCGCTTGTAGAGATGTATTACTGATGCCTTCTTGAGTTCGTGTGGAACGATTTCAGTCTGCCAAATTTGCTGGGGAAAAAATGACAGAGTTTCTCTATCAGCGTTCTTCCGCCAGCTTTGTAAACCTCTGCAGGGATTGAGTCAGAGCCAGGAGCTCTACCACTAGAAATCTATTGAATAGCATTTATACTTTTTTCTATGGTTGAAGCTTGTTCAAGTGTCATGTTTATATAGACCTGTGGAATGCAGTTGATAGCGTCATTATTAACAGATGAAGATAAAATATTGCTAAAAAATGTTGGGCAGATCTTTAAAGAGTTTGTTCTTTATCCGTGACCAGTGTTTTCCTTTCTGCTCACGCTGCACCATTCTCCACACGCTTTGAAAGGCATCCTTCTTGCATGTGAACTTTGGATCGCTTAGAAAGGCGGTGAACTCACGCTTTCGGTCCTACGGACACCGTGACTGGTCGTTCATTAGTGCATCTTAACCTATCACACGCGCGACTTTCTCTTACAGGGGTGTCAGGTTGCATAGTCTCCTACACTATCACCTGCGATATCCCGCATGCCATACTACATTATGTTACCGCCACTTTTAACAACCCCACAAAATCTACATTTGGCCAATAACCAACCCCTTTACGGAACAGCCTCAGTCCAGGTCCCAAAAGAGATTGATTCGATGCCCCGTGGTTTCAGACTTTTCCCAAAGGGAGTAGTGCCCCGCTCAAGTCTAAAGGTGTTTTCAGTATCAAGCATAATGCTCACATTACATGTGCCAATAGTGAGTGTTAAATAAGTTTCCCGTTTCTTCCTTGTATGTCGACCAGTGAGATAGGGCACCCACCAGTCGCGGTAAGCAAGTTAGGTAGTAGTGGAGCGGGCAACGTTTAGGTCACCTTTTCTAGCCCCTTCCTCGTGCCTTGGAGGTGAGAAGTGCATTCCTAAAGAGGGCTGCTCATCGGGCTGCCGAATCGCAGAGCTGCTCCGCCTGTGTGCAGGTGGTCTTCAGCTACGATGCCAGCGTACTCCCGCTTGTCGCTTGGTCGCTAACCCATCGCCCCAGGACTTGATGGCTGGGTTGGACAAAAAGTACGGAAACAAGTTATTATGAATTTGTTTAGAATGAGGAAGAGGTGTGCAATTTTGTCGACCACACTCTCTGGCCTGTATCTATCTGAATCCAGTGGCAGGACAAGTGGAGACGGCTGGAGATGAAGTCAGGTGCTGTGGATGACCAGGGTGTTCTGTGTGCCGAACCGTGCTCCACAGCGCGTTGCTGGTAACTGCCATTAGATCTGTTGAACCAAGAACAGAAAATAACTACATGTGAAATGCGCTATCTCTGTAAGGTCACTAACAGTACAAGAAGGGACAGGGCTACGATACCAACATTAGAGAGAAAGTTGGAATAAAACGATGTCTGGATTGCATTGACTGGCATATAATGACATCGTTCGGCCGTAAAGTGAGAATATGGCCAGAGGTAACTGCATATGCGACTTGTTAACAGCAGAATATCTAGGAGGAATACGAGGGAAAGAGATGGAATAATGGTGCAGCTGAAACCTACACTGAGAAGAAAAAATCTTTTACCCTAGACACTCGGGAAGAAAAAACAAACCCAGAAAAAACAGACACTGGGCTATAACCTGGTATCAGCGAGACGACAAAAGAAGATTGATTATCTCCATAGAAGTGACCTGTAATGATGCTATAAATAGGGATAACGTCAGGGGATGACTGGCATAATTGGGTAAGTCCCTGAGAGCATGGGTTTCACGGAGATAGGGTGAAACGACAAGAGAGAGTGAGTCACGTGTGAATGGGAGATCTGGGGGATTGAGAATCAGGTGGCCATTCGGTGACTGGGCCCCAGACTGGAAGGATGTGAAGCTGAATCTGTGAAGATGAATCGAGAATGAAGCGAGCACGTGGATCTAAATCAGAGTCGAATGAATGATCGTGAAGGCCAGCTGTTGTGTTACCCTGTTTGATTGTTGAGCCAGACGTGAATATGCCAGTGTCCATCGTCTGAAGCATGTCTGGAGCTTTAATGCGTGAGCAAGTTGAGACTGTCCGAATGGTGTAATTTGATTCTCCTGTGATTCGTGTCTTGTGTTACAGTGATAATAAACTCGTGAAATGTGTCAGCTGGTGTCAACCGTTGTTTGAAGTCGTGTGACCGTGGAGAGAAATGCCGTCTGGTTAGATTGAGCTGTGACCTAACCTCTAGACAACAGAGTCAGTGTTAAATCTGCACTATAGAGAGATCAAGTGTGGAGGAGACACAAGTACGATCATTACAGACCAGAATAGATAAAATCAGGAATGGAGTCATAAGGGAAAAATTCAGCATAGAACAGATTCTTTACTGCATACAAAGTTGGCAAGAAAAATAGTTTGCCCAACTAAAGAGAATGCTTTGCCTCGCTATACAATACAAGGCATATACCAACAGAGATGGTCATAGGATACCGGGTAGACCAACCTCAAGACGGAAAGATACCATCAGAGAAGCTCTACACCAGCATGAAGTGTCTATGGTCGAGGCGGCCAGAAGAGCAAGAAGGAGAACTCTATATCTGGAAATCCATAGTGGTCTTTTTCTTTTTCTCCTTCTCTTCTTCATCTTTTTTCTTTGTCTAATTCTCCTCCTTTTTTTTGTTGTTGTTGACATCTCCTTCTCCTCGTCCTTCACCTGTCTTCCTCTTCTTCTCCTCCATCTTCTTTGTCTTCTTCTTCTCTTCCTCCTCCCCTTTCCTGTCACTCTCCTTCTTATTGAGAAGCACTGTTCATTAAAATATATCCGTTACTCTGTTTTCATGTGCAGCGTTATAATGCTGTCTTCTGTGTTTGCCTTGTGTGTGTGTGTGTATGTGTGTGTGCTTTTATTCCTTTGACCTATAAGTGCATATATAACTAGAATACTGAGTTACCAATGATATCCACAATTAACAATGCTGTCTATGATTAGCAACGCTGTCCTGTATTGACAGTGCTGTCGTTTATTAGCAGTAATGTCCTACATTAGGATTTGATTTCCTTCATTAGCAGTGATGTCCTACATTAGCATTTGAATTCCTTCATTAGCAGTGATGTCCTTAATTAGCATTTGCTTTCCTTCATTAGCAGTGATGTCCTACATTAGCATTTGCTTTCCTTCATTAGCAGTGTTGTCCTACATTAGCATTTGCTTTCCTTCATTATCAGTGATGTCCTACATTAGCATTTGCTTTCCTTCATTATCAGTGATGTCCTTAATTAGCATTTGCTTTCCTTCATTAGCAGTGATGTCCTACATTAGCATTTGCTTTCCTTCATTAGCAGTGATGTCCTACATTAGCATTTGCTTTCCTTCATTAGCAGTGATGTCCTACATTAGCATTTGCTTTCCTTCATTATCAGTGATGTCCTTAATTAGCAATGCTGTCCTGTGTTCAGCCCGGTCAACTGGTGCGTTCTGTGGCAATGGTGCTGTAGAAGACGAGGAATACTGTGATGCTAGTTCCAAGGGGATGGAAGATCTGGACCCATGTTGTGACAGATACTGCAAGTTGAGAGGAAATGCCACATGCAGGTGAGTTGATTAGTATTTAGCTGCCACTATTTCCCAGACTGTCTCTGACGTCGTGTGTTTTTTTTTTTTTTTTTTAGATTCCTATTTGTCATGTTCTATATTTTCCCAGCTAACTAGGCTTTATATATATTTATATTTATATTACTTTCATGTCTTTCTCGATTCCAGCTATCGCGTCTTACTTTACCTTAGCTGTCATGTCTGTTTCTGTCAGAGCCATGTCTTTTTTTTTTTAAATCCGATATGTTATGTCTAATTTGATCCTAGCTGTCATGTCTTTGTCTGACTCACTGTGCTGCCTTACTTTACCACAGCTGTTATGTTCTATTCTATCTAAGTTGTCATTTCTTATACTCGTCCAGATATCATGTCTTTAAAACAGAATCTCAGCAGCTATCATCTCTTGTTGTATCTCATCTGTCATGTTTTACTCTATCTCATCTGTCATGTTTTACTCTATCTCATCTGTCATGCTTTATTCCATCTCAGCCATCATGTCTTATTGCACCTCTGCTGTCATGTCTTACTCTGTCTCAATCGTGCTTCTTACTCAATTCCAATGTCTTACTCTATCTCAGTTGTCCTGTCTTATTTTTTTTCAGCTGTTATGTCTTATTTTATCTCAGTTTTATTGTCTAGCTCTGTCTCAACTGTTATGTCTTATTCTGTCTCAGTTGTCCTGGCTTATTCTTTTCCAGCTGATTTGTCTTATTTCTCTGAGATATGTCATGTTGCCATGATGCCACTTTATGTCACACTGAGTTTATGTTTATGTCAATGTCACTGAGATATGTTTATGTTAATGTTGTCACTGAGATATGTTTATGTCAATGTAGTCACTGAGATATGTTTATGTTAATGTTGCCACTGAGATATGTTTATGTCAATGTAGTCACTGAGATATGTTTATGTCAATGTAGTCACTGAGATATGTTTATGTCAATGTAGTCACTGAGATATGTTTATGTTAATGTAGTGCCACTGAGATATGTTTATGTCAATGTAGTCACTGAGATATGTTTATGTTAATGTTGCCACTGAGATATGTTTATGTCAATGTAGTCACTGAGATATGTTTATGTTAATGTTGCCACTGAGATATGTTTATGTCAATGTTGTCACTGAGATATGTTTATGTTAATGTTGCCACTGAAACATGTTGACGGTAATGTTACCACTGAGACATATTGATTTAAATTTTGCCATTAATATATGTTGAAGACACTACTGCCAATGAGATGTGTTGATGACAATGCTGCCATTGAAATTCTAATGTCACTGAGATCTGTAAATGTTGCTATTGAGATATGTTGATGTTAATGTTGTTATTAGGATATGTAGATGTTAACTTTATCACTGGTATATGTTGATATCAATGTTGCCACTGAGAAATGATGAAGTAACTGTTGTATCTGTGGTATCCTAATGTTGTCATTAGGATGTGTTGATGTAAACGTTGTCACTTAGATTTGTTGATTTTAATGTTGTCATTTAGATATGTTAATGTTGCTACTAAGATATGTTGATGTTGATGTTGCCATTGAGATATATTGATTTCAGTGTTTCATCAGTGATTTGTTGAGACTACTGTTGCCACTAAGATATGTTGATGTTAATGTCATTGAGAAGTGTTGATTTTAATGTTTGCCACTGAGGCATGATAAAAACAATGTTGTCGCTGAGATATGTTTATGTTCATTTTGTCACTGAGACATGTTGACGGTAAGGTTACCACTGAGACATATTGATTTAAATGTTGCCATTAATATATGTTGAAAATATTATTGCCACTGAGATTTGTTGATGTTAGTGTTGCCAATGAGATTTGTTGATGACAATGAGGCCATTGAAATCCTAATGTCACTGAAATATGTTAATGTTGCCACTGAGATATGTTGATGTTTGTGTTGCCACTGAGATATGTTGATGTTAATGTTGTCATTAAGATATGTTGATGTTAATATTTATTGTCATTAAGATATGTTGATGTTAATGTTGTCATTAAGATATGTTGATCTTAATGTTGTCAATAGGATATGTAGATGTTAACTTTATCACTGAGATATGTTGATATTAATATTGCCACTGAGAAATGAGGAACTTTCTGTTGTCTCTAAGGTATGTAAATGTTGTCCTTAAGATATGTTGATATAAATGTTCTCACTTAGATATGTTGATTTTAACGTTGTCACTTAGATATGTTAATGTTGCCCCTGAGATATATTGTTTTTAATGTTGCCTCAGTGATATGTTGAGACTAATGTTGGCATTAAAATATTTTGATGTTAATGTTATTGAGATGTGTTGATTTTAATGTTGCCACTGAGGCATGATGATGACAGTGTTGTCACTGAGACATATTGACGTTAATGTCACCACTGAGACATGTTGATGGTAATGTTGTAATAATATATAAGATGACAGTGATACCACTTAGACCCTAATGTCACTAAAATATGTTGATGTTGCCACTGAGATATGTTGATGTCAATGTTGTCACATTAATAAGTTGATGCTAATATTGTCACTGTTACTTGTTAATGTTAATTGTGTCCCTGATCTATGTTGATGTCAATGTTGCCACTGAGAATTGTTGATGTCTATGTTGCCACTGAGATATGTTGATGTCAATGTTGCCACTGAGATATGTTGATGTCTGTGTTGCCACTGAGATATGTTCATGTCAATGTTGCCACTGAGATATTTTGGTGTTTATGTTGTCACATTATTATGTTGATGCTAATATTGTCACTGTTACATGTTAATGTTAATTATGTCCCTGGTTGTGTTCTTTCAGTGACGCCAACCATATTTGCTGCAAGAACTGCGTGATAGCTCCAGCCAACACACCATGCCTCCACAGCGAGCCTGTGGACTGTACAAAACCCAGCTTCTGCTCGTATCCTTTTACACACAAAAAGGGCACTAGAGATTATTGCACCCATAAACATGGGCCTTAGAGATCATTGCACCCATAAACATGGGCACTAGAGATCATTGCACCCATAAACATGGGCACTAGAGATCATTGCACCCAAAAACATGGGCCCTAGAGATCCTTGCACCCATAAACATGGGCACCAGAGATCATTGTCCCCATAAACATGGACACAAGAGATCATTTCACCCATAAACATGGTCATTAGAGGTAATTGAATACCAAAATATAGACATTCATCATCATCATCATCATCATAAACCACTTCTGCCGTTAAGCGTCCTGGGGAGGAATAATTTGCGTTCCAGTGCACGTTGGCTGCCACTGGCTATTGTCATGCCGTGAAGGCGTAGAGTGTCTTTAATGTTGTTGATTCATATTTTCCGCGGCCGTCCTCTTGCTCTTGTAGTTGGTCTTCTGAGATGTAGTGCTTGTGATGGTATTTGATCTTGCTGCATTCTAACGAGATGGCCAAACCACTTGATCTGCTGTTTCTCGATGAATCTAGTACAAGGTGTCGTTTCCACAATTTGCCTGATAGTTTCATTATTCACTCGATCTCGTATGGTTAGGTTGGCTGCTTTTCTCAGGCACCTCATCTCGCAGGTGGTAAATTTGCGTATATGGGCTTTAGATAGTGTCCATGTTTGGCACTGGTAGCTTAATGTTGGAATAAATATGCTATTAATAATCTGTCTCTTTGCACTCATAGTTATGCTTAGATGTCTTAATAATGGTGACAATTGGTATATAAGTGCACTCGCTTTCTGACATCTGGTTTCTATTTCTCTGTCAATTCTACCATCTTCTGTGATCATACTTCCTGGATATTTAAACTCTCTAACTTGATTCAGGGCAGAACCATTCAGCTGTGTGTGTAGTGGGGCAGAATGTGTACTAACTTGCATTGTTTCGGTTTTGTTAGAGAGATAATTAGGTAGGCAGGTAAGTTGTACATAGCAATAAACACCCGGTGACACAAGGTGTCAACATACAGATGAGGATAGCCCGTGGACAGGTCCCAGAAACCCCGGTCAGCCGTCAGTCCATATTTTAGGCCGGCTATATTTAGGGACACTGTTGTACACACACACATGGACACTAGAGAGATAGTATTGAAACAATTGTACACACAAACAGGGACACTGAAGTGATAATATTGAAACAATTGTACACACAAACATGGACACTAGAGAGATAATAGCAGCCAGAGTTATTGTTTTCTCAACAATCTAATCAGAGGGCGTGATCACTCCTGTCCAAAACCAGCCTATGTTCCAGAAGGGACACCTTGCCCAGGCCCGTGAGTATTTGTGTATTCGTTACGCATTTCTTCATGTTTTATGCATTTTTGTTAACTTAGTCATGTGGGGCCTTTAGAGAGTCATATACAACATTGTTTTGTCAGCTAATAATGAAGATAGAACCAATTGTGCTCGCTTGGAACATAGCATGTGCCAGTTGTGTGTCACAATTATGCTGTGACAGGCCAAAAAATACGGCTGTACTAAACTTTTAAAATGGAACATATTATTAGCTTGTGTTATAAGCAGCTAATTGAAAAAAAGAATTTCTCATTGCACAGAAGGAAACTGTTGTGAATATTCACAAGCATCTATGTGATGTAAAAAGGAGTTTTGCAGTCTACAGGAATGCAGTCAGTTGCTGGGTTTCGAGAATCAAAGAATCGGGAAGAAGAGATACAGAGCTGCGTGATCGGTCGCGCAGTGGTCGTCCGGCAACGGCCATTAACACAGAAATGTTAAAATGCACTGAGGAAATGATTATTACTGATATACGAATCACTAACAGAGCGTTGCAATGCTGATGGAGAGAACTTTTTGTTTAAGATCATTACAGGTGGCGAAACGTCTAGCGCACAATTTTGAACCTGAGACAAAAAGACAGTCAATTGGGCGGCAGTATCCCACAAATAGAGAAATTTGACACTTTCTCCAGCTTGAAAGGTTATGATCACTGTCTTTTGGGACATGTGAGGTGTGTGCGGATATTAGGCTATGAGGAAAGACAGTCAGTTTGCAAACTTACATTATAATATAGTAAAAACTCAGGAAGTGTTTTCAGCTACACAAGAAACTAGCATATCTGCTTCTCCTTCATGACAGTGTGCGCCCTTACACAAGTCTGGCAACAAGGGAAACAATCACCTCATTGCGCTGAACTGTACAACACGGGAAACAATCACCACATTGTGCTGAGCTGTACAACACGGGAAACAATCACCACATTGTGCTGAGCTGTACAACACGGGAAACAATCACCACATTGTGCTGAGCTGTACAACACGGGAAACAATCCCCTCATTGTGCTGAGCTGTACAACACGGGAAACAATCACCACATTGTGCTGAGCTGTACAACACGGGAAACAATCACCACATTGTGCTGAGCTGTACAACACGGGAAACAATCACCACATTGTGCTGAGCTGTACAACACGGGAAACAATCCCCTCATTGTGCTGAGCTGTACAACACGGGAAACAATCACCTCATTGCGCTGAACTGTACAACACTGGAAACAATCACCACATTGCGCTGAACTGTACAACACGGGAAACAATCACCACATTGCGCTGAGCTGTACAACACGGGAAACAATCACCACATTGTGCTGAGCTGTACAACACGGGAAACAATCACCACATTGCGTTGAACTGTATAACACGGAAAACAATCACCACATTGCGTTGAACTGTACAACACGGGAAACAATCACCACATTGCGCTGAACTGTACAACACGGGAAACAATCACCACATTGCGCTGAACTGTACAACACTGGAAACAATCCCCACATTGCGCTGAACTCTACAACACGGGAAACAATCCCCACATTGCGCTGAACTCAACAACACGAGAAACAGTCATCACATTCCGCTGAACACGGGAAACAATCATCACAGTGTATTTGATTTATTCATACATATTTATGTTTTTATTCATGTAATTTTCGTGAAACTTCGTATTTTCTTTCAGATGCTATAATTCATACATTGTATCATATAAGAATCCATACATTCCTTCATATAAGTACTCACTTTTTCCTGTATTTTTGTATGTAAGTATTCAATCATTTTGTCATTAAAATATTCATGTGTTTTTAACTGTAAGTATCCATACGTGTGATCATGTAAGTGTGCAAGTATCTATGTTTATTTTTTTCAAGAAGGCATTCATAATTTTACGTTCAAGTGTTCCTAATCGTTTTCTTCCATGTGTGGCTTTCGCACATTCTTGATGTATATATTCATGTATTCTTGAGTTTGTAAGCAAATATGTATTTTTAGTAAGCATTCATACATTTTTCATATAAGTTTTCAAGTGAACATATATATTTATATAAGTATTCATGTCTTCTTTCGTGCGTTCATTAACCCAGCTTAGATGAGCTCTTTATCTGTGCAGAGGACATTGCTACAGTGGGAAATGCCTGAGCTTCTGTCAAGCACTGTCACGAAATAGGAGCGTCCGGCTGCAGGCATGCATGTGTCGGACAAATGGTGAATTGATTTCTTACAACAAATATTGGCCACTCCTTGTTATGATCTACACAGGATGCTCACTTGTGAACGAATGATGCATTTGTTAAGTCAGTAAAAGTTAGGTAACATAACAACATCTAGCTTGTCATACAGATAACCGACAGGGACAGTAATTAGCACACTTGCACCCCTTGAAATAATGGACTGTCAGGTCAGCTGTGGATTTCCCACGGGGATTTCGTGTTTGGGGTACGTTATAAATTAAGTAATGTAACAAAACATCTTCCTTGTCATACAAAAAACTGACAGTGACAGTAAAAAGTAATGTAACAAAACATCTTCCTTGTCATACAAAAAACTGACAGTGACAGTAAAAAGTAATGTAACAAAACATCTTCCTTGTCATACAAAAAACTGACAGTGACAGTAAAAAGTAATGTAACAAAACAACATCTTCCTTGTCATACAAAAAAACTGACAGTGACAGTAAAAAGTAATGTAACAAAACATCTTCCTTGACATACAAATAACCGACAGTGACAGTAAAACGTAATGTAACAAAACAACATCTTCCTTGACATACAAAAAACTGACAGTGACAGTAAAAAGTAATGTAACAAAACATCTTCCTTGTCATACAAAAAACTGACAGTGACAGTAAAACGTAATGTAACAAAACATCTTCCTTGTCATACAAATAACCGACAGTGACAGTAAAACGTAATGTAACAAAACAACATCTTCCTTGTCATACAAATAACCGACAGTGACAGTAAAACGTAATGTAACAAAACAACATCTTCCTTGTCATACAAACAAGTGACAGTAAAAAGTAAAGTAACAAAACAATATCTTGCTTGTCTTAACAATAACCCAGAGTGACAGTCAAAGTGGATTGCATCGTAGGTAACCGTCAGTCCCCACATACCACGGAGCTGTGCCACTGGTTTTTGGGAAAAGCGCTTGCTATGACTGTAAGGTCAAACATGGGTACCGCAACCTCTGCCACATAGCCCACAAATGTTGACTCGGGGAGTCACTGTGGCAATGCGGGTAGACGCTCGCGTGCGGATCGGACGGTCGTGGATTCGCTCCCTGGCGGAGCCGGACTTTTATCAAAAATGACCTTGACTCCCTGGTCGACCCAGCCTTGAGTGGGTACCATGTGCAGTCCTGAAAAGTAAAGGCGGCCGGCGTGATGCTGACCACATCACCCATCTTGTGCCGATTGGTCTAAAAAATATAGGTCTAGCCCTATATGCCCTATACGCCTAAGGGCGTGGAAAAGGGACATTTTAACTGTCTACCTTCATGGGAGTCGGTCTTTAGCTGATCTCTCCCGTGTCTCTATCTGTCAAGAGCCCATGTGACTATAGGACGACTGAAGGTGATGATAGCAAACCACTGACTATCGCTTAGATAACCGCTTAGCCACTACGCCATCAACAACCTACGGGAGTTTTCTAATAGGACATCTTGAGGGAGAAGTGAACCCTCCAGGATTTATGGAGATTTGACTGACCAGAAGGTGATCGGTTGACCGGACAAAAAGTACAGGAAAAGCGTTTTCGGGGAGTTTTCTGAGAGACTTAGACCTGACATGTATTTTGCCCGCTAAGTTTTTCCGTAACTGATTACAGTTAGCGATGGTTAGTTTGTGATTATGTGTTAGCTAGGGAGGCTTAGTGGTCTCGAGATATGGTGTCCGCCTCGAGTGCTAGAGGTTCCGGGTTCAATCAGTGGTAAAAGGCTGTGATTTTTTCACATGGACTTGAACTTCTAGTAATTTCCACTGGTCTCGGGATAGTGAGATCCGACGTCCGTAAGCATTGCCGCGCACGTAAAAAAAACCCTGGTAGTTGAACATTGAAAAGAGTAGCCTAACGGCGCTGCCCGGGCAAATATTTGGAGTTACAAGGATCCTCGCCGGTGCTACAGAGCCTGTGTACTGTGCTGAGCTTCTTTTCACTCAGACTCAAGATAGAAGAAAGAACGGAGCACTTATGGTTACTACCCGTGTGCTATAATGTTGATCCGTTATTCAAACATCGAACCTATGTGTTAGTTTGGCGGTATTATAATTTTAGTGTTAGGCAGTGTAACGTCTGTGGTATACAGAGATAATCCACTGCCAGCTGCCTACTGTTTTCTGTCACCATATTAACGCTTTATGTTTGTGTTCTGACGGTGTCTAGTTGGGTTGCGTTTAGGATAGATAAAACTGTCATAGAGTTGCCTTTGAGCCGTTGCTGTTAGGGCAATAAGCAGGTTTATGGCAGGATCAATGTAGGTATCCTCAAGATCACGTGTCCATGTCCCTGAAGCATAGCCTTGGCCTTTCTGCAGCTCTTTCCCCTGTTACCAGTTCGCCATACAGGAGATTCTTTGCAATGTCCCAACAAACGCAGGCGTCTTTGTGTCGGTAGAAAGTACATATTGGCATTTATACTCTTTTGAGAACATATGCACTTAGGACAAAGTCTATTCTTGATATCCCAAGAATGTGCCTCATACAGCTTACGTAGAAGGCTCCAACCTTAGGTCATAATGGGGAGTGTTGTTAATATTCAAATCCAGAGCCCTAAAGATTAGTGCTGACGACGCAAGCTTCTTAACTGGAATGTTGGTCCGATCCGTTAGCTTTCTGTTCTACCATACTCCTGTTGCGAGTTTGTAAAGCATTGCAGCAACATTTCCAATTTGTCTGTTTAGTTCTGCATGTAGGGAAGGATCGTCTGCGATTCGAAAGCCTAGGTACGCAAACGTATGTAGAACCAACAGTTTATGTTCGTTCCCATCACTGTCTGTGATGGATGTGTAGAAGTAGGCAGATACATCGATACAATGGTTGTTGTCTGTGATAGATGATGTGTGGAAGTAGGCAGATACATTGATACAATGGTTGTTGTCTCTGGTAGATGATGTGTGGAAGTAGGCAGATACATGGATGCAATGGTTGTTGTCTGTGATAGATGATGTGTGAAAGTAGGCAGATAAATAGATACAATGGTTGTTGTCTGTGATAGATTATGTGTAGAAGTAGGCAGATACATCGATACAATGGTTGTTGTCTGTGGTAGATTATGTGTGAAAGTAGATAGAGACATGGATACAGTGGATGTTGTCTGTGGTAGATGATGTGTGAAAGTAGGCAGATAAATGAATGCAGTTGTTGTTGTCTGTGGTAGATGATGTGTGGAAGTAGGCAGATATATGGATACAATGGTTGTTATCTGTGATAGATGATGTGTGAAAGTAGGCAGATACATGAATACAATGGTTGTTGTCTGTGGTAGATGATGTGTGGAAGTAAGCAGATACATTGAAACAATGGTTGTTGTCTGTGGTAGATGATGTGTGGAAATAGGCAGATACATCGATACGATGGTTGTTGTCTGTGATAGATGATGTGTGAAAATAGGCAGATACATGGATACAATGGTTGTTGTCTGTGATAGATGATGTGTTAAAGTAGGCAGATACATCAATACAATGGATGTTGTCTGTGGTAGATTATGTGTGAAAGTAGATAGAGACATGGATACAGTGGTTGTTGTCTGTGTTAGATGATGTGTGGAATAATATAAATGCAGGGATACAGTGGTTGTTATATATGGTAGATGATGTGTGGAATAAGATGGATACATGGATACAGTCTTTGTTTTTTATGATAGTTGATGTGTGGAATAAGATAGATGCAAGGATACAGTCGTTGTAATATATGATAGATGATGTGTGGAATAAGATGGATACATGGATACAGTCTTTGTTGTATATGATAGATGATGTGTGGAATAAGATAGATGCAGGGATACAGTCGTTGTAATATATGATAGATGATGGGTGGAATTAGATAGATACATGGATACAGTCGTTGTAATATATGATAGATGATGTGTGGAATAAGATAGATACATTGATACAGTCGTTGTTATATATTATAGATGATGTGTGAAAGTAGATAGATACATGGGTACAGTGGTTGTTATATATGATAGATGATGTGTGGAATAAGATAGATACAGGGATACAGTGGTTGTTATATATGATAGATGATGTGTGGAATAAGATAAATGAATGGATTCAGTGTTGTTATATATGACAGATGATGTGTGGAATTAGATAGATACAGGGATACAGTCGTTGTTATATATGATAGATGATGTGTGGAATAAGATAAATGCAGGGATACAGTGGTTGTTTTATATGATAGATGATGTGTGGTATAAGATAGATACATGGATACAGTCTTTGTTATATATGATAGATGATGTGTGAAATAAGATGGATACATGGATACAGTAGTTGTTATATATGATAGATGATGTGTGGAATAAGATAAATACAGGGATACAGTGGTTGTTATATATGATAGATGATGTGTGGAATAAGATAAATACGGGGATACAGTCGTTGTTATATATGATAGATGATGTGTGGAATTAGATAGATACATGGATAGAGTGTCTGTTGTCTGTGACAGATAACGGAGCTGCTTGCAAGTCGTGCTGCTTTAATACAGAAAGGGCCAATGTTTCTGACTGGTGCCAGGTGTACTCCAACGAGTCTGTGTTAGATGGTACACCCTGTTACATGGGATTTTGTAAGGTAAGATTAACATTGCTGATCTGGTCATCTGTGTTCCTTTATTTTCTTTCCGTATGTCCTATTCTGCCTTTTAGCACCAAATGGCGAAGAGGCATCTGGTATGCGCTTTGTGTATGCAACTAGATGCCGGTTATCAAAACCTCAGATATCCCACCTTTCCTTGGTTTGCGTCAGTGACTTCCAAATGTTCTCACATTATGTCTAAGTGACGGTACTCTCTGCGGTGCACAATCCTGTAGTAGTTTTGCCACATGTCCGAATTCTATTTTCTGTTGTCTCTTGGTGTAGTTTTGCACTAATTACATCTGAAAATGTTCCTTGATATCAGCATTTCTGTTGATGTCCTCACTACCTGTAATTACTGTTTTAGGACAATGTAGGTCAGAAGCTCTTGAGCCTGTGGATTTAGGTCTGCATTTCTAGTGCACATAATAACGGCAGTAACATTTGTCTACGATGCAGGTCACAGGTAACATTTTCCTAACAATGACACATGTGCTTAAGAAATGAGCGGTAACTGTTGTGACTTAGACCGCGCAGATACAACTATGTGAGGTACAGTGACCATACCTTGACAGTTCCTCTACTCAAGAACCTTACCTCAGGACTCAAGACAGGTGCACCTCTTGGTGAAAACTCCAGACTTTCCGTCTGCTGTACCAGTCACTCACGAAAGCATCGCTGAATGACATCCCGTCAGTAAGCCTTTTTTTTCTCTCAATCACACATGCACGTAGGTTACATGTCAGATTGTCATCTGCCTTTAACTAAGCTACTTTAGCTATAACTGGTCTCAGCTAACTCTAACTAACCTCTTTTATCTATAACTACTGTCGTCTACCTGTTACTGTCTTCTCCCTATAACTACGATCATCTACCTGTTACTGTCTTCCACCTATAACTATGATCATCTACCTGTTACTGTCATCTCCCTATAACTATGATCATCTACCTGTTACTGTCTTCTCCCTATAACTATGATCATCTACCTGTTACTGTCTTCTCCCTATAACTATGATCATCTACCTGTTACTGTTTTCCACCTATAATTACGATCATCTACCTGTTACGGTCTTCTGCCTATAACTACGATCATCTACCTATAACTTATCTCCTTTATCTCTGAATACTGTCATCCAGCCATACCTAACCTCCTTTACCTATAACTACTATCATCTAGCTATACCTAACCTCCTTTACCTATAACTACTATCATCTAGCTATACCTAACCTCCTTTACCTATAACTACTATCATCTAGCTATACCTAACCTCCTTTACCTATAACTACTATCATCTAACTATACCTAACCTCCTTTACCTATAACTACTATCATCTAGTTATACCTAACCTCCTTTACCTATAACTACTATCATCTAGCTTTACCTAACCTCCTTTACCTATAACTACTATCATCTAGCTATACCTAACCTCCTTTACCTATAACTACTATCATCTAGCTTTACCTAACCTCCTTTACCTATAACTACTATCATCTAGCTATACCTAACCTACTTTACCTATAACTACTATCATCTAGCTATACCTAACCTCCTTTACCTATAACTACTATCATCTAGCTATACCTAACCTCCTTTACCTATAACTACTATCATCCAGCTATACCTAACCTCCTTTACCTATAACTATTGTCATCCAGCTATACCTAACCTTCTTTACCTATAACTACTATCATCTAGCTATACCTAACCTCCTTTACCTATTACTATCATCTAGCTATACCTAACCTCCTTTACCTATAACTACTATCATCTAGCTATACCTAACCTCCTTTACCTATAACTACTATCATCTAGCTATACTAACCTCCTTTACCTATTACTATAATCTAGCTATACCTAACCTCCTTTACCTATTACTATCATCTAGCTATACCTAACCTCCTTTACCTATAACTACTATCATCTAGCTATACCTAACCTCCTTTACCTATAACTACTATCATCTAGCTATACCTAACCTCCTTTACCTATTACTATAATCTAGCTATACCTAACCTCCTTTACCTATTACTATCATCTAGCTATACCTAACCTCCTTTACCTATAACTACTATCATCTAGCAATACCTAACCTCCTTTACCTATAACTACTATCATCTAGCTATACCTAACCTACTTTACCTATAACTACTATCATCTAGCTATACCTAACCTTCTTTACCTATAACTACTATCATCTAGCTTTACCTAACCTCCTTTACCTATAACTACTGTCATCTAGCTATACCTAACCTCCTTTACCTATAACTACTATCATCTAGCTTTACCTAACCTCCTTTACCTATAACTACTATCATCTAGTTATACCTAACCTACTTTACCTATAACTACTATCATCTAGCTATACCTAACCTCCTTTACCTATAACTACTATCATCTAGCTTTACCTAACCTCCTTTACCTATAACTACTATCATCTAGCTATACCTAACCTCCTTTGCCTATTACTATCATCTAGCTATACCTAACCTCCTTTACCTATAACTACTATCATCTAGCTATACCTAACCTCCTTTACCTATAACTACTATCATCTAGCTATACCTAACCTCCTTTACCTATAACTACTATCATCTAGCTATACCTAACCTCCTTTACCTATAACTACTATCATCTAGCAATACCTAACCTCCTTTACCTATAACTACTATCATCTAGCTATACCTAACCTACTTTACCTATAACTACTATCATCTAGCTATACCTAACCTCCTTTACCTATAACTACTATCATCTAGCTTTACCTAACCTCCTTTACCTATAACTACTATCATCTAGCTATACCTAACCTCCTTTACCTATAACTACTATCATCTAGCTTTACCTAACCTCCTTTACCTATAACTACTATCATCTAGCTATACCTAACCTACTTTACCTATAACTACTATCATCTAGCTATACCTAACCTCCTTTACCTATAACTACTATCATCTAGCTTTATACTACCTCCTTTACCTATAACTACTATCATCTAGCTATACCTAACCTCCTTTGCCTATTACTATCATCTAGCTATAAACACCTAACCTCCTTTACCTATAACTACTATCATCTATCTATACTAACCTGTCTCTACCTATAACTACTATCATCTAGCTATACCTAACCTACTTTACCTATAACTACTATCATCTAGCTATACCTAACCTCCTTTACCTATAACTACTATCATCTAGCTTTACCTAACCTTCTTTACCTATAACTACTATCATCTAGCTATACCTAACCTCCTTTGCCTATTACTATCATCTAGCTATACATAATCTCTTTTACCTATAACTACTGTTACCTACTCAAAACTAACCTCCTTTAACTACACATAACTACTTTTCGTCTACGTATAACTAGCCTCCTGAACACATAGTTACTGTCTACTACCTACAACCATTGTCTTTTTCCTAAAACTGCTGTCATCTATCTATAACTAATGTCATTAACCTATACCTACTGTCATCTACCTATAACTAATGTCATTAACCTATACCTGCTGTCATCTACCTATAACTAATGTCATTAACCTATACCTACTGTCATCTACCTATAACTAATGTCATTAACCTATACCTGCTGTAATCTACCTATAACTAATGTCATTAACCTATACCTACTGTCATCTACCTATAACTAATGTCATTAACCTATACCTACTGTCATCTACCTATAACTAATGTCATTAACCTTTACCTGCTGTTATCTACCTATAACTAATGTCATTAACCTATACCTGCTGTCATCTACCTATAACTAATGTCATTAACCTATACCTACTGTCATCTACCTATAACTAATGTCATTAACCTATACCTACTGTCATCTACCTATAACTAATGTTATTAACCTATACCTGCTGTCATCTACCTATAACTAATGTCATTAACCTATACCTACTGTCATCTACCTATAACTAATGTCATTAACCTATACCTGCTGTAATCTACCTATAACTAATGTCATTAACCTATACCTACTGTCATCTACCTATAACTAATGTCATTAACCTATACCTACTGTCATCTACCTATAACTAATGTCATTAACCTATACCTACTGTCATCTACCTATAACTAATGTCATTACCCTATACCTGCTGTAATCTGCCTATAACTAATGTCATTAACCTATACCTGCTGTCATCTATCTATAACTAATGTCATTAACCTATACCTACTGTCATCTACCTATAACTAATGTCATTAACCTATACCTGCTGTCATCTAGCTATAACTAATGTCATTAACCTATACCCACTGTCATCTACCTATAACTAATGTCATTAACCTAAACCTACTGTCATCTACCTATAACTAATGTCATTAACCTATACCTACTGTCATCTACCTATAACTAATGTCATTAACCTAAACCTACTGTCATCTACCTATAACTAATGTCATTAACCTAAACCTACTGTCATCTAGCTATAACTAATGTCATTAACCTAAACCTACTGTCATCTACCTATAACTAATGTCATTAACCTAAACCTACTGTCATCTACCTATAACTAATACTCTTTATTCTCTGCCTTCTACTAATGTCCTCTGCTTATGGCTAATGTCATCCACCTTTAATTAGTGTCCTCTTCTGATAAACATGTATTGTCTCTATCTATTACTAATGTCCTCTTCTGATAAACATGTATTGTCTCTATCTATTACTAATGTCCTCTTCTGATAAACATGTATTGTCTCTATCTATTACTAATGTCCTCTTCTGATAAACATGTATTGTCTCTATCTATTGTTATTACTAATGTCCTCTTCTGATAAACATGGGTGTATTGTCTCTATCTATTACTAATGTCCTCTTCTGATAAACATGTATTGTCTCTATCTATTACTAATGTCCTCTTCTGATAAACATGTATTGTCTCTATCTATTACTAATGTCCTCTTCTGATAAACATGTATTGTCTCTATCTATTACTAATGTCCTCTTCTGATAAACATGTATTATCTCTATCTATTACTAATGTCCTCTTCTGATAAACATGTATTGTCTCTATCTATTACTAATGTCCTCTTCTGATAAACATGTATTGTCTCTATCTACTACTAATGTCCTCTTCTGATAAACATGTATTGTCTCTATCTATTACTAATGTCCTCTTTTGATAAACATGTATTGTCTCTATCTATTACTAATATCCTCTTCTGATAAACATGTATTGTCTCTATCTATTACTAATGTCCTCTTCTGATAAACATGTATTGTCTCTATCTATTACTAATGTCCTTTTCTGATAAACATGTATTGTCTCTATCTATTACTAATGTCCTCTACCCATAACTATTGTCCGCTACCTATAACTATTGCGATTTAGTTACCTGTAACTAATGTTCTGTGCCTTTAACCACACTATGATGCCAAGTGTCTTTTGTCTAGAGTTACCACTGCCACACTCTTCTCTTCAATCATAGACTGGTGTTTGTGAATCATATGAAGCGTCTACCTTTAAGAGATTCCAAGGTTTTCTTAAACAAATGAAAACGCCTGAATTAGGTGAGTAGGGGTCCTACTTGCCAGTAATGATGGGTGGTGAGAGAGTTGCATTACATTTTTGATGCCTTTAACGAGAGGCTGGATAGGGGTCAGCAGCTACTGCAGAAGTATGCTCCATACATGGTGGGTGAAAGATCAATAGGGCTAAGGGACCAGCTGCCTTACTCACATGGGTTTCTTGTAGGTAGCTGACCGGTAAGTGTAGGGTGAATGTTTTAACCAGTTAGAGCACGAGTGACCGGCAATCTCCAGCTGTTTTAGCTTATGTGATGTTGTGATAGATGGTGGATAGATGGTTAGATGGGGTAGATGGTTGTTATGTGATGGATAGTTAGATGGGGTAGATGGTTGTTATGTGATGGATAGTTAGATGGGGTAGATGGTTGTTATGTGATGGATAGTTAGATGGGGTAGATGGTTGTTATGTGATGGATGGTTAGATGGGGTAGATGGTTGTTATGTGATGGATAGTTAGATGGGGTAGATGGTTGTTGTGTGATGGATGGTTAGATGGGGTAGATGGTTGTTGTGTGATGGATGGTTAGATGGGGTAGATGGTTGATATGTGATGGATGGTTAGATGGGGTAGATGGTTGATATGTGATGGATGGTTAGATGGGGTAGATGGTTGTTATGTGATGGATGGTTAGATGGGGTAGATTGTTGATATGTGATGGATGGTTAGATGGGGTAGATGGTTGTTATGTGATGGATGGTTAGATGGGGTAGATGGTTGTTATGTGATGGATGGTTAGATGGGGTAGATGGTTGTTATGTGATGGATGGTTAGATGGGGTAGATTGTTGTTATGTGATGGATGGTTAGATGGGGTAGATGGTTGATATGTGATGGATGGTTAGATGGGGTGTTATGTAGATAATTAGATGGGGGTGGTGTTGTTATGTGATGGATGGTTAGATGGGGTAGATGGTTGTTATGTGATGGATGGTTAGATGGGGTAGATGGTTGTTATGTGATGGATGGTTAGATGGGGTAGATTGTTGATATGTGATGGATGGTTAGATGGGGTAGATGGTTGTTGTGTGATGGATGGTTAGATGGGGTAGATGGTTGTTATGTGATGGATGGTTAGATGGGGTAGATGGTTGTTGTGTGATGGATGGTTAGATGGGGTAGATGGTTGTTATGTGATGGATGGTTAGATGGGGTAGATGGTTGTTATGTGATGGATGGTTAGATGGGGTAGATGGTTGTTGTGTGATGGATGGTTAGATGGGGTAGATGGTTGATATGCGATGGATAGTTAGATGGGGTAGATAGTTGTTGTGTGATGAATGGTTAGATGGGGTAGATAGTTGTTGTGTGATGGATGGTTAGATGGGGTAGATAGTTGTTATGTGATGGATGGCTGAATGTGATGGATAGTTAGATGGGGTAGATAGTGGGATGTGATGGCTGGTTAGATGGAGTAGATAGTGGGATGTCATGGATGGTTAGATGGTGGGATGTGATAGATGGTTAGATGGGGTAGATAGTGGGATGTGATAGATGGTTACGTGGCGTAGATGGTTGGATGTGATGAATGGTTAGATGGGTTAGATAGTGGGATGTCATGGATGGATAGATGAGGTAGATGATTTGATGGGATAGATGGTTGGATGTGACAGATGGTTAGATGTGATGGATGGATGAATTTGATAGATGATTTGATGTGATAGATGGCTGGATGTGATAGTGAGATGTGTTAGATAACTGAATGTGGTAGATGGTGAAATGTGATAAATGGTGTGATGTGATAAATGGTAATATGTGATAAATGGTGAGATGTGATGAATTGTGGGATATGATAAATGATGGGATGTGATAAAATAATGGATGTGACAGACTGTGATGAGCCTCCTTAGCATGGTCTCCGTGCTCACAGCAAGTCGCACAAAAAATCCGTGCGTCGAACGACCACACGGAATGCTTGGGACTGGAAATGTAAACGAAGGAAAGCCTGAGGTTGACTCGCGGTCATTTCCATACCAGAAATCGAGGAAGACAGTTGTCGTATTTGAAGATATAGTTTCAATGACAAGTAAGTCACTAGTGTTGTCATATGGCGGAAACGAACAGTGAATACCGTGTCTGAATCATTTTGAAAAAAAAAACTGATAGAAAGTATACAGGAAACACAGAGCCGTTTTGTGTTGTCAACCCTAGACAGTAGAAGCAGTGCAAGTAGCAATGTGAAAGCGTCGAAGTAGATGTGTGAAGTAGCTTCGTCGCAAGGGGGTGCTTATCTGGGAAAAACTTAAACGCAAAGTTACAACACTTCAGATGTTGAGCAAAATTGTCAAACGAACGATAGCCAGGTTTGGCACAGAAACTACATTGAATCAACTTGTAACTTTGTTCATCACAAACACACTGTTCTTGAAGCCCAAATGAGACTGACTCCTCTAGATCCTTCTAATTAAATAATCCGTCTCACCCACGTCCTAGATCTCCCACGTCTGTCATCTTCATGCTCTCTCATTTCGCACGGGTTAGACAATTTTCTAGTTTGGCCAACATTTGTCCCTGAACCACGATTCGTCTGTGAATTTTTTCACCCACTCAAGTACATAATTCATGTTCAGTATCTGATCTCATAAATTATCAATGTAACCATAAATTAACAAGGGCAGAAAGGACTTCTTACATAAATTGTGAGATGGAATAGATGGTGAGATGTGATATAAGGTTGATTGAGATAGATAGTGAAAGGCGACACATGATAAGATGTGATAGATGGTGAGTTGTGAGAGATGGTGGGATGTGATATATGGTTAGATGGGACAGACAGTGAGAGGTGACACATGATGAGATGTAATAGATGGTAGGAGGTGATATAAGGTTGGCTGTGACAGATAGTGAGAGGTGACATATGATGAGATGTGATATATGGCTGGATGTGATAGATAATGAGAGGTGACAAATGATGAGATGTGATATATGGTTGGATGTGATAGATAGTGAGAGATGACAAATGATGAGATGTGATAGATGGTTGGATGTGATAGATAGTGAGAGATGACAAATGATAAGTGAGAAGTGACAAATGATGAGATGTAATAGATTGTAAGATGGTTGGATGTGATAGATAGTGAGAGGTGACAAATGATGAGATGTGATAGATGGTAGGATGTGATATATGGTTGGATGTGATAGATACTGAGAGGTGACACACGATGAGATGTGATAGATGGTAGGATGTGATATATGGTTTGATGTGACAGATAGTGAGAGGGGGCCGCTTTAGCGCAGTAGATACGGCTTGCTTTTAAATCCAGCCGCGACTCGCTGCAGCCACGGTCGGTGTTCGAAACCGGGCGGCTCTCGGGGGTAACACAGCCTCTAGGAAATGGGTACCAGAGTGACACTCTGGGGTAAATGAAGAAACGTCGCTGTAGCTACATAATTACTTGCGGGCGGCGACACAGGCGGACAGTTTCTTATCAGCTGTCCGTACTTGTAGCAGAGCACTTATGGTTTATAACCGTGTGCAATTATGCTGGTTCACATCTCCTGATTTTACCTTTTTTAGATAGTGAGAGGTGACACGTGATGAGATGTGATATATGGTTGGATGTGATAGATGGTTGGATGTGATATATGGTTGGATGTGATAGATGGTTGGATGTGATAGATGGTTGGATGTGATAAATGGTTGGATTTTATAGATGACGAAATGTGATAATTGCATGGATCTGATAGATTGTTGAATGTGACATAATGTAATGTGATAGATGGGTGGATGTGATAGATGATCATTTGTGCTATATGGTTAGGTGTAGTAGAAGGTCATAGGTGTAATAGAAGGTCGTATGATAGATGTTTGCATGTCAAATATGGTGAGATTTGACACTTGGTGAGATGAGATAGACGGTTGGGTGTGATAGATAGTTAGATCTGATAGATGGTTGGATGTGATACGTGGTTGGATGTTTTAGTGTGATGCGATAAATGGTTAGATGTGATAAATGGTGAGATGTGATAAATGGTGAGATGTGATAAATGGTGAGATGTTATATATGGTGGTAAATTACAAGTGGTTCGACTCACATAGTACGATGTGTTGTGTTAACCTAGTATGATGTGTTCTGTTGACACAGTGTGATGTGTTCTGGTGACATAATGTGATATGTTGTAATGACAAGCATTGTGTAGCCTCTTCTATCGATGGCACAATGTCAAGTTGAAGACAGAGTCAGCCCGTGTTTGCTACACATCTAGGTCACACGTAAATGTAGTTTGTTGTCTTCTGTTTCACAGAAACGTTTCTGAAGGGCAACCTTGTGATGTTATTGATTCTGATTAGCCTAATCGTCTGGTTGCCTGCTACCTTCTACATTTATAGAGCAGTTGAGTAATGTTAGATTATAAAAACATCTGAATCATTCATAATTGGGAATTTTTTTTTCTTGTTCATAACTTTCCCTCGTTTTTTCAGTCATTCCTAACCAAGTCATTCTTTTCTCCTAACTGTGTTATGTTTATCATATTTATTACTGAACTAGATCTAAACGCCGTTACCTTTGTCTCAGCCATTCTAATGTTTCTTCTCATCAGTATTTATTGTTGCAAAATGAAAAGATGAAAAAAAAAAAAAATACACACATCAGATATCAGACTCGATCAAACTCAGTGGACTTGGAATACATTGGATATATTGACAAGCCCATATTTGATTGATATCACACCAGTTGATGGGTGTAGGTTTAGAATTCCGTCACAATCGCTTGCGATATGGAATTAGCTGATGACAGTTCTCTCCTTGTCGCATTCACGAGGTCAGATGATACCTCTTTCTGGAGCAGTCGTTGGTAAAACACAGGGAACATTGGGTAGTATAACACAGGGAACATTTGGTGGTATAACGCAGGAAACATTGTGTGGTATAACACAGGGAACATTGGTTGGTATAACAGAGGGAACATTGGGTGGTATAACATAGGGAACATTGTGTGGTATAACACAGGGAACATTGTGTAGTAGAACACAGGGAACTCTGGGTAACACAGGTAAGGGTGGGTGGTATCAGACAGGGGGTAACACAGGTAAGGGTGGGTGGTATCAGAGAGTGAACAGTGGGCATAGATAATTTGTATAACGCATGGAACAGTTTATGATAAAACACAGGGAGCATATGGTTGGAATAACATAGGGAATAGATAGTTTGTATAACACAGGAAACAGCTGGCTGGTATAACATAGTAACAGAAAGTTGGTTGGTATAACATAGTAACAGAAAGTTGGTTGGTATAACATAGTAACAGAAAGTTGGTTGGTATAACATAGTAACAGAAAGTTGGTTAGAATAACATAGTAACAGAAAGTTGGTTGGTATAACATAGTAACAGAAAGTTGGTTGGTATAACATAGTAACAGAAAGTTGGTTGGTATAACATAGTAACAGAAAGTTGGTTGGTATAACATAGTAACAGAAAGTTGGTTGGTATAACATAGTAACAGAAAGTTGGTTGGTATAATATAGTAACAGAAAGTTGGTTGGTATAACATAGTAACAGAAAGTTGGTTGGTTATAACATAGTAACAGAAAGTTGGTTGGTATAACATAGTAACAGAAAGTTGGTTGGTATAACATAGTAACAGAAAGTTGGTTGGTATAACATAGTAACAGAAAGTTGGTTGGTACAGGGAACAGGTGACTGGTACCATACTGTGAATATCTAGTTAGTGCAAATCACCAAACAAATGCTTGATTTTATAGTCACTTTGTATTATTTAAGGAAATGTTACTATCATGCACAAGGGGCAGATATACTGTTCCATTGTTTCATACGGTGTATCATCAACAGCCCCATCTATATGGATGCCTGTTCACTGCCTACCACCATAAATTAACCAAACTTCCCAGCACCTCCTGCAGACGCCGATAACCGTATGGTCTGTATACCTCCGGACCTCCCTCCGTCTACATCCGAGATATCGATCCTCAGCAAGGGCCTCCGGTTCGTGCCCTTACGCCCTTCTAGTGACCTATAACTTCCCTTGAGGACGCTCACGACTTTTATCGTAGGCTCAGGCTGCAAAATGATCACAGCATTCGACCTGAGAGAACTAATACACCTGTGCCCACGGACTCTACAGTTTGCTTTCCGAAACCCTGGTCTTCCAATCTTGGGGCAACTAGAGCTTTGAATTTAAACACTAAGAAAACTCTTTTTGAGATTATTAAATTGATATTCCAACTCCTCAGGCAATCTAACCTTTCGCCTCAAGAGCTTCAGGCACTCACACGATTGAAACGTCATGATGATAATGTTATTAAACATGCGGATAAGAGAGGGGCGGTAGTAGTCTGAAGAGAAAAGATTTATACGTGCAGGAAAGGGGACAGTGCAACTCAGTGACCTCTCGTTCTATGCACCCCAGTCACACGATGGCACAGTTAAAAACAACAAAATAGTAAAAGGTACTATTACCACCATGATCAAGGACGATCTTCTACCTGCTCGGGCCTCCTCTTTATTTGTCGAGGAAAGCTGTCTGGGAAAGCCTGCCTTTTCTATGCTTCCCAAGATACATAAACCTGACAACCCAGGCGGACCGATCGTGTCCGCCTGCTCTTGTCCCACAAAACTCATATCCAGGTTCCTCGACCGTATCCTGCAGCCCTGGTTGTTGGTCTTCTGTCTCTCATCAAAGATACCAACCATGCTATCTCTGTCTTCCAGTCCATCCGGTTCACCTCTTCCTCCAGGTACCACATCCTTACCTTAGATGTTACCTCCTCTATACCTCTATCCCACACTGTAATGAGCTCCAGGCTTTACGGTTTTTTTTTTCTAGAGCGTAGAAGACATGGGGCCTACTTATGCCTGCCTTTTCTTGGGTCAGATCGGGCATCAGATTCGTCATGCTTATACCGGTAGGCTCCCTGAGCTCTACAAAAGGTATATAGATGACTGCATCGGTGTCACCGATATGTCTCTACCTGAATTACAAAACTCCATTCTTTGTTTCTCCAACTTCCATCCTAGCATCCGTTGCATTTCACCTTCGTCGGTACATTTTCTAGATCTCACTGTCACCGTGGACTCTAATGGGACCAGCACCTCGAGATACTATAAGCATACTGATTCCCACGCTTTTCTTCTTTGCACGTCCTCACATCTCTCTTCCTGCAAAGATTCCATTCCTTTCTGCCAGCTTCTACGCCCCCGCAGACTATGCCAGGAGAACGACGACTTTCATCAGAAGGCTCTAGAAATTTTGGACTTCTTCCGGCTTCGAGGGTATCCCGAAGATGTCTTATCTGCTGCCCTTCACCAAGCACGGTCTATTCATCCTGCCGAGGCTCTGGTTTCCAAGCCTAAATGTCAACACAACAGACCTATTCTCATTCTCACCTACAACCCTCACAACATCCGTGCTAAGAATATTCTCCTCCAGCATCTCTCCATCCTTGCGGCTGACGCTACAACCAACACAATTTTCTCTAAACTTCCTCTAGTGGCCTACAGGCATGACTGTAACCTCAACGACATTCTAGTTAAGAGTCGGTTACGACCTGCCCCTAAACCCCATTTGGGGACCGTCTCCTGCCATAAAACTGTGTGCAGGACCTGTCCATATGTGGTTCAAATGTACCAGCCTGGAATTCCCGAATGCCACCTTCCACATACGTGAAGCCTTCTATAGCACGAGCCGAAATGCAATTTACGCCATCAACTGCAAGAGATATGGCATGAAAAACATCGACCAAACGGGTTTACGGCTGGCTGACAGGTTCAGACAGTATTTTTTGGACGTGCAGAACGGCGCCCTGAACCCAGTACCACTGCATTTCAATTCCCATGACCACCAAGGTGTTCACGATATGGAGGTGACAGCCATTAAATCTAGCCACTCCAGTGACAGAGTCTGCAAGTCTCTTGAACATCGCTTTATTTATAGCTTAGGAACCTGGCGCCCAAGTACACTTAACTGCCAACACAGCTTCATCTAAACCCTAGTGGGCTGCACTGCCTACCCAGTTTCATCTTATCCTCAAGTGACGGCCCATGATGTATCCCCGGATATCCAGTTTCTAGGCCCCACGTGCCTCGTCAGACCATTGTCTTGACGTCGACCCCGCTGCCACGAGATACGAAGATAAGTAATATTGTGTATCTGTGTAGTATTGTTTATTCTATGTATGTGCTGAAGAAAGCTACTTAATCGCAACGTTCACGTTATGTTTGTGATATGGTGACGCTCGCTGATACACTTTTCGTTCGGTTTTATATCTGTTCCATGTTAGGATGTGTCTGTCCAAAAAAAGCGGAAACGAAAAACTGCCAGGGATAAGCGGAAGCATCGTCATCGAGAGGTGAGTGAAGACTTCACTAATTTCTCATTGCTTTTCTTTTCCCGAATTTAATTCATGCTTTGTTCTCGTTATTTTTGACAGTCATTGTGATTTTTTGAGAGTTTTAAATGTTCTCAGGATTTGAAAATGTAGACATTGTTTAAATGTTTGTTAGGATGTAAATGTAGACAGCGTTGACCGTGTCTATAATTGTTTACAGTATTTGTAAACGATGACAGAGTTTGTAGGTGTTGACAGTGTTTGTAAACGTTTAGAGTGCTTCGAAATGTTGACAGTGTTTAAAAATGTTGACAGTGTTTGCAAATGTTGACGGTGTTTGTAAATGTTGACAGTATTTGTAAATGTTTACAGTGCCTATACATGTTGACAGTATTTGTAAATGTTTACAGTGCTTATAAATGTTGACAGTATTTGTAAATGTTTACAGTGCCTATACATGTTGACAGTATTTGTAAATGTTTACAGTGCTTATAAATGTTGACAGTATTTGTAAATGTTTACAGTGCCTATAAATGCTGACATAATTTGTAAATGTTTACAGTGCCTATAAATGCTGACAGTATTTGTAAATGTTTACAGTGCCTATAAATGCTGACAGTATTTGTACATGTTTACAGTGCCTATAAATGCTGACAGTATTTGTAAATGTTTACAGTGCCTATAAATGTTGACAGTATTTGTAAATGTTTACAGTGCCTATATATGCTGATAGTATTTGTAAATGTTGACAGTGTTTGTACATGTTTACAGTGCCTATACATGTTGACAGTATTTGTAAATGTTTACAGTGCTTATAAATGTTGACAGTATTTGTAAATGTTTACAGTGCCTATACATGTTGACAGTATTTGTAAATGTTTACAGTGCTTATAAATGTTGACAGTATTTGTAAATGTTTACAGTGCCTATAAATGCTGACATAATTTGTAAATGTTTACAGTGCCTATAAATGTTGACAGTGTTTGTAAATGTTGACATAATTTGTAAATGTTGACAGTGTTTGTAAATGTTGACAGTGTTTGTAAA